AGAAAACAGTGTCAAAAATAAGTAATTTCTATTGAATTTATAATCTGATATGCAATCAAAATGATACAATTTAATAACTTTGTAGGGTAAAACATTTTAATTTGTTTTAAAAAAAAATTATTAAGGATTATTGTGAAAACATACCTGTTGGCTGTCTTTAAGTATAAAAATATAACCCTATTGACAATGTCAAACTTGAGGAGCAACGTTTATCAAAATTCGACAACTTAAATGTATTTAAGAGAATATTTAATTTAATTTAATTTTTTGTTATTTTTCAAACAATTAAAATTATATTTCTTACTTAGAACTACGATAATTTGACTACAAAAATTCACCAATATGGTTAAACTTAATGGGTGGGTAAGTAATAAATAACAGTGTAAATGAAATAAACTAATAAACCATTCATGTAGTCATACTCATACTAGTCATAGAAGCTTCAAGCTTAATAAGCTTATTCAGTCAAGTTTTTCACAAATCAGTGATCACATCACATCAGAATAAATTCACAAAATCTTTTCTTGTCAGTGTTCCGACAACTGTTATCTAGTTATTTTTGCGGTACTATTCAATAATTGATAAAGGACCGTGGTATAGAAATATTAGATTCTTGATGGCGCGTATATCCATAGTCCCATAGGGCATAGACTATATTATGTTTTCGACAAAACGGATTTAGTTTTTTTTTTTCATTTTTTGCTACCTATTTAAAAACGAATAACCGTAGATACCTGAAAGTTAGAATTTTCACCAAATATTTATTTCCATACAAAAATTCATAAATACAAGATTTACAACGGCGGTTCAGCGGTTGAGACATTGTATCTATTCTGTGGTTGAGATATATTATGGATCCATGTCCATGTAGTCATGGTTTTTTTTTAAGTTTAAGGTTTAAGTATTTTAAATACAAATTTAGACAAACTCCATCAAAATCTCGAATGTCTGAAATTATATAGTTAAAAATTTTATAATCTGTTCAATTTTTTATAGTCAGGAGTTGAAATTGTTGAACAAGGATTCTCATAAATAGTTCATACTGTTACCAAAAAATCTAAAAACTGTTTTTACTATATATTTTAAGTTCAAATTTGGATTATGTATAAATAAACGAAGAATTATTTTTGACGAATCCAACGATTTTAGTTAATTCATTGCAATTTGAAAATGCCTGCTATTCCTGGGTACTTGAAACTTTTAAAGTAATTATTATATTTTGTAAACATAATGACATTTTCAAATGCAAATTTTTCGGCAAAAATTAATTTACCTACTGTAGTATATAATTATAATAGTAGCTTATTAATAAAATAAATAACTTTCATCATAATAATATCATGAAATATTCTTGTAATATTATTGACCAACAGACCGTCAATTATCGTTTTTTGTACACAGTGATTTATATCACTAAATTTAAACTTAACGCATCCATTTTTACCTAGTGGCTAGTACCTACCAGTGGTGTATTTATGGGGGGGGGAGGATCTGTCCCCTAATAGAATACCCCGCGGTCACTTATTTATGATATTGTGATTGTGATTTCGATGGTAAGTGAACAACCCACTCATGATAAATTTAATATAATTTATTAATTTAATTTATCATGAACCCACTCCTCTTAGGGAATTAAATATTTGCTATTTGCTTTGCTAACATATATCACCCCTCGACAAAATCCTAAATACGCCACTGGTTAGGTACCATATACCAGTGTTCGGAATGCTAAAAAATTCACTAATTCATTCAAGTTCACATTTTTATTTTTAAATTGTGATTTAAATACTAATACATTTTTTTTTAAATTTTTAATCGTATCATCAGTATATTGTCATTATTTATTTATTTTATTTCAGCAAAATTAATATCATTATATCAATACAATAATCAAATTTCAAAAATTGAATTATTACAATAATATAATATTTTTGGAAATCGTATTATTATTGATGGTTTTTTGTTGAGTCATGCCTGCTGTAATTTTATGTAGGTATTTAATTATTATTATTATTCGTAATCAAATAAATATAGTATAAATATTATAATAAAAAAATGTTATTTTATAATATTAAAATATCGTTACTTATATTTATACATTACACATAATATTATTTCATCAGTTAAACGGCAAATAAATTTGAAAGTCTTAATTCTACCTCCCTTACATTCATCCAAGTCATTTCCTAGTACATACATATACAAAGTACATGCATTGAATAATTACTCTAAAACTTTTTAAATAAAATTTGAAATATACCTAGTATAACTGTTATAAAACATTTTTTCAACTTACCAATTGAAACCAGTTTGATTTAATAATAAAGATAATACCAATTTAAATTTTGATACTACCTATTCTAGTTTTTGTTAATAATCATGAAATAAAATAATTTGGGGTGTCTGAGTGTCATCAACCACTTTTTGTCCATAAATCATCAGCTGGGAACCACTGATCTTAATATAAATATTAAATTCTATAATGTTGAAGTCAAAAATAAAATAATGARCATTATAATTACTGTTGTTTTTTAATATGTTCTATTAAATGAACAAAATATATAAATACCTATAATTTATTAAGAAGAGCATATTAGTGACAGAAATTTATACTTAATGTCTTCATTCATCAATTCAGATAGTATGTAATATAAAATAAATATATTTTGGGCTGTTTGAAAAAACTTCACTATAGAACTCCTGATATAGCTATAAGTACACATAAAATCAAAATATAACCAAAAACAGGTCAAAATAAATATCATATCCATCATTACGTATAACCATATGAATCAAAATAATATTCAATTTGAATCTACTAAAACTAAACATTTGCAACATTTAAGAAACTTTAAGTATTAAAGTTGAACACTGAACATATATATATATATATGTATTTATGGCCATATTGGTTATATTATAGGTATTCAAACCGTTTCATCTCATGGCTACTTCACAATATTTTGTTTGCTCTCTAATCATAGGCGTGTGCAGACTTTGACTGCAGGGGGGCCCCTTAAAAAGGTCCGAACTAAAGATTCTTTTTTTTTTTATTAATTAAAGGCTACAAATACAAAGGTTTATTAGCCTACAATGGTTTACATGTTTAATTTATAAAGATTCTTGTGTGATGATAATTGACTAATTAATAAAATAATAACTTAATCACATTTATATTTTATTTATACTATTTGATTAAAACTGGCTTCACTATTTTTTATGTAAAATCTAAAAATTTCACTGTCTAGTATAATATACATATCTATGCATTTATTAAAGAAAAAGCCAGAGGACGCAGAGGGGGCCACGGCCCAACCTGCCCCTCTTTGCGCACGCCTATGTCTCTAATCATGAAGGACACATAAGGATATTTTTAAAGTTTTTTCTATTTATAATAATATAAATTATAAATTCATCAATCATATATAAGACAGCAAGCTTAATGATAATCATGCATAGAAAACCAAAATTAAACGTTTTTGAAACAGATTTGTAGCAATCTAGCATAATTTAAATAATATATCAATTGCCAACATTTCTTGTTCTCTGTTGAGCTTAAGCTCCTCTGAAAAATACTGAAGATCTCTGAGTTATATCAAAATACATTAAAGGAATTTCTATTATTTAAATTTGGAGTAGATATTTAACAACAAATATATTGGTTGTTTAAATAAAGTTTCATGTATTAATGTTATTTAAAATATCTATGAACTTATAATTATATTTAAAAAAAAAAAAAAACCTTTATTCAATTGTTAATTATTACAACACTTAATTAAACAAAGAAGGATATTTGGAAGACGAGCTAATTTATCTCAAAAATTGTATCACAATTTTGAACATAAATAATATTAAAAATTTTGAAATGTATTTTCAGAATTTAGGGTCAATATTTTATATAAATTGAAAGAATATAAAAAAATACTCTGATATATTAACTAAAAAAAAAAATATTTTTAACTAAAATAGAATGAGAATCATATTATTATCTATACACTTGTGTATATACTTATAAATACGAAAATACGATAGACTAACAATACAAACTATGATTTAATTACAAAACTATAGGTAGATAAACAACATTAGTAGATAGGTATAGCCAAACAATTTAAAAATGTAAACAAAAAATAAATCATTATTACCATATGGCATATACTATATTATATATATTATATAATAATAAATGAAAATTGATAAAATTAGCATCATTCAAATTAAATACATAAAGCACAATAATAGGTTTCTCAGTATTTATAATCTGAATCAATAACATTAAATTCAAAATTAGAATTTCAACTGAATAGAATGATTTATATATTACATTTAACAAAAAAATATTTTAATCATTTTTTACAGTAAAAAAAAAAACTATTAATTATATCCTATTATAAATGTGTTGGAAATTCAAAATTAGAAGTTATTTCAAATGGAAAACATTACTATAGTGTATCATGAAAAATGCAATTCTAATTTTAGTTGATAAGTTATCCTCTGCATTTGCGGATAAATAACTTATTATCTGTAACATAATATACTATGCAAATCTTCTTTGACACTTAATACATTGGAAGCAGATAAGAATAGTGATAAAAAAAAATGTATTGTTAGGATGTTCAGTAAAAATAATAAGTGATATTTAATGTTACAAAATAATCAATGTTACTGTAAAAGTTGATATTATATGTTAAAAAAATGCTTCAAATTAAATTTCAATTTTTAATTACTGTTAAGATAAGAATATGTCACTTGTAGTGTTTTAATAGAATACCTACTATATACTAACACACTATACCTTGTACAACATTATAAATTGTGTAAGCAAAAAGATAATTTATGAATTAAACAGCCCAAGCTATCACAAAATAACGCAAAATAAAAGTTTTTTTTACATTTGATTTAAATTAACATGAAAAAAATTAAAGTACCAACAAGATTTTAAGATTACCAATAAAAGAACACTTCTTTCCAATTCAAATCTATATTATCACAGTAGTGAGTACCCTGAAAATATATTTTCATTTTTATTTAAACTGTTCCGAGAAATTTATTTTAATTGGACAATGCAAGTTTTTGGTTTCCTGATACACAAATTGATTTTACTAGAAATTAGACATTAATCATCCTAGTAAGTATATAACATTTACATAGAATAATGAGCAATTATTAAAAATGTAAATTTTTCCATCAAGGATAAAACTTATGATAAGAAATGATCATGTCAAGCAGATGATACTTTTTCTCATCGACAATATTGAAATAATGGAAATAAGACCAAAAAAGCCTTAAATAATTATAACTCTATGAATAATTAAAAAATAAAATTAATAATTATATTCATGATATAAGATATACAGCGAGGACATTGCTACTTATAAATTACGAATGTATTAATTACTAAAAATATATATAGTAAATAAAGCTACAATTGTTCATTATTTTAAAATTCCTGACTTATAATTTTTAGTACATAAACATATATATATATATATTTATATATAATATGTGATCTATGGTAGTTAAAATTTCTTTAAGCATGTTTGTGTAAATGTGTTGTATTTTGTATGTATACTTAATTTTATATCAMAGACATATGTGACTAGTTCACAACTTTTCTGTGTAATCCCACCAGTCTTTTTCGTAACCTTCGTGAACATGCTCTAGCAACACTTTTCGCCGACTTTCACAATAACTGAAAAAAAAAATTAGATTAAGTAATTCATTAATGATGTAAGTAGATATGTTGGTTAAAAAAACTATGGTTAAAGCTTATAAAGAATAAACATTATGTATATAATTGAAAATTCACAAATTTTATTAGGTAAATATGTATACATTTAATTTCTATATTACATAGTACATACAGAATAAGATTATGATGTAATATTGATGATAAAATAAAAAAAATTATAGTAAAAAATTAAAATCAATTACAGTTAAACTTGATTAAGACGCTCTTTAAGGGACCAGATCTCAAAAACGTCTCAAGTAAGAAACCTCCAATTGTTGAATAATATTTTAAACAGCAAGCTTGTTGAAACCACTCCAATAAAACATTTTCCAACACTTCACACATCCCTGTTTTACTTTTTGCTGTTAGCTCCCACCTAACAAGCTGCACATTTTTCTATGTCATATCAATTTTTCAACAAAGTTCTTGAAGAGGAAAGATGTATCCTCAATTCATAACCAATATTATTATTTTTTTATCTTTCATTGAATTTCTTCAAAATGTTGAGTTTGTCCAAAATCGATAGCGCTTCACGTTTTATACCACTAGCCATGGAAAAATGACAATTGTAAACTTGTGAGCGAACTGCACTTACTAAATCTAATAATACCATGAAATACAGAAAAACTGTTAAAATGGGTATAGCAATAAAATAAAACAATAAGAGCATGTAAACGAGTAAAATTTCAATTCTTATTTTCACAAGACTTTATCATAATCTGCTGAACTAAAGAGTGTTTTGTCTGATTAGATACAGRAAATTCAAGTGTTTTAATAGATGGATTTTATATTGACTAGTATAGGGAATGTCTCCAGACTGATGGAAAATAGCGTCTTCTACAGAAGCGTCTTGAGCAAGTTTTACTGTATTGAAATTAATTAAATACCACATCTTGTTTTGTTTAATTTTTACAAGTTAAAATATTTATTTTTAATCTTAATTGTTTTACTTATTACTGGATAAAACTTATGTATTAATAATTACCCTTTAAATAATGTTTGAATTTTATATTTTTAGAATTGGGACACAGAATATTAAAATCAAACCAGGATGCTTTTTCCTTGTAATGAATTGTTCAATTGATTTAAAATGTGACTAGAGAAAAGGAAGTACAGTGGATTTTTATTGCTTTTGATACTAAGAATTGGCCAGTACAAGGTTTGAACTAATAACAATGATTGTTAATACTAACACATTGACGCTTTATCTCAGTCACACCATGCCCTAATATAATAGGTAACAAAAATTAAGTTATAAAACTTTAAATTAAAATTTTTTAATAATTTACTTTATATGATTACAGGGTTGGTTCTGATAAATGTATATTTGGTATATTGCACGTGTGTCAGAGAGAGAAAAYAAATGGTGTGCTGACATGATATTAGTTTATTATTTAATAGTTTCTATAAACAATTTTATTTAATTATAATTAAGTTAATATTCAGATTTTATTTTATTTCGGTTTGTTTTTGCAAGAATTCTTTCATTAATAAAAACCTACATTACAACAATCATACATCATTCAATATTAGTTTAAAATATCTCATACATTTCTTTAGGATGTTCTAATAATAATCAAAGTAAAAATTTGTAAATCATCTAAATATTAAAAATCACAAATATTTATTACCGATATTTATCTTGAACTTTCTGCTTAATGTCGGCTAAATTTTCTGAAGTGATATCTCTTTCTAAATATTCTGACAGAGTTTCTGTAGCACTTTCCAAGTCTCGTTGGTTATCCTAATGTTACAAAAATATTAAAATTTAGCAAAAAACAATCAGATTAATAAATGTATGCAATTGATTAGATTCACCTCAAAAAGAACTGATTGATTATTCTTTTTCAAATAGTATGCAAACACATAAGTGTACATGAGTGTTTGTCTACATTGACATAATATATCAACAGCTTTTTTTAAAAATTGTACCTAAAATAGAATTTATAACTATTATTTTAATTTATATAATTTGATGAATAACTATATTACTTAGAAGAAAATAAAAATTAAAAAACAGTTTTATATATTTAAAATAAAATAACACCTCAATCCATGACATATTATGTTGTTGCATTTCTTCCATTTTTTCTTTAACGCTAGCATAAAGCTTGTGTTCAAACTTAAGTGATTGCATATGATTCATGTAACGGTTACAGTAGAAAAGATACCTCTGTAATGCGGCCCTGGATCTTTCTTGAGCATCTCTGGCTGCTTTAGCTTCTTCTTCATCATACCGATTACAATTATACCTACATAACAATAAAATTACTATGATTATAGCAGAACTCAAAAATAAGGTCTTGAACTGAACCTTCTAATAGTATATTGAACAGAATACGTCTGAATGATATATTCAACATCGAACCAAATCAATATCAAACATTATGTTTAGTACTGAGCTGTTGAATTAAATAATAATTTAAACCTTTAAGAATCAAAATATAGTATCAAATATTTTTGTTCAAAGTTTGGATGTGCTCTAATTTTTTTTTTTTTTGAACTTTTTGTTTGGTTTGATTTGGTTCTTAAAAAAACAAAGATTAACTTTCAAACTCCAAACAGATCGGCCCATTTCTTAATACTACTAATAGACAAGTTATAAAAAAATATTATAGTTATATTTTACCATGATGATCCATGTGGTTCCCATGGGCCAAGGCATACCCAACAAAAGTCAGTTTTACAATTTTGATTTTTACAAACCATATGGTTGCAACCACCATCTTTTTCTATAGTAACATTACATTTAGGACATTCCTGAAAATATGATAAAAATATTTTTTAGTTAATTTGAAAAAAAATAATATGAATACTTAAATAATTATTTACTTATCTATTTTATAAGTTTAAAATTGAAGTTTAATTCAAGATTAATCAATTTTAATATTTTGACATTGGCTGTCTTATTGTTGTAATAGTATAAATAAATTAGTAACAATGGTTAATAAGTTATAAAAAACTTTAAAACTAAATAATGAACAGTAACATCTCAATAACAATTAAATTAATTTAAAAAATATGGGTCATCATAGTTTACTTGAAATCTTAAATTGGTTAATATAATTAATTGTTTACAAAATTACTTTAGTATTAGCTGCAATCCAATTTGAAGTTTCTGAATCATCATCACATTTTTTGATCCACTTCCTTAATAAATTACATTTAACAGGATCATGCCAATTTTCTCCACATACAAAACAAAATACATGTAAACATCGACAGATCACTGGTTTTGAATCAATATACTGGGCTTTAATAACATTATTGCAGTCGGGTGATGGACACCAACGTAATAGTCTATTACACTATTATAAAACAAGAAAATAAAAATGTATACTGATAAAGATTAAATGTACAAAAAGATGATATAAGTTACTTCAACAAAACTATTAGTAATTAGATGTTGATATTTCATTCGAACTTTTGGATCTCTGACTAATCGCATAACAGTCGCATCATCTACTAATATATCACAACCACTTGCTGCGCATGCAATTGTTTGACCAACACCTTCTTCAATAATTTTTGTCGTTAAATATTCAGTCCAACACTGTGTACAGAATCGATGATTACATTCTAATCCAGTCATCATCTATAAGTACAGGAAAAAAAGATTTTATTGCAGCAGTAAATATTAGCATAAATAACTTTTGTATTTTTACACATAACAGACAATTGTTGACCATTAATTAATAATAGTTAATAAGTAAATTATAAATGAATAGTATTTGATGTTATTTAGTAAATTTACTATACTACGGTCACAGAGAGAGTGCTACTCTGACGCGCATCTGCCACTCTAATTAGCCGCCCCACCGCCAAAAATTCTTCCACTAACTACTCAGCCAATGTATTGGAATTCATGAGATCGGACAAGTTTTGGTCACTGCTGAGTAAGCGCTCTCTCAGTGGCCGTAGTATAATTAATAGTATTATTAAATTATTTACTTAGCTATGGAATAATTTAAAAAATGATTACATTTACACTGGATAACATATTACTGAATATAGTAATATGATCAAATTTATTAATCATATTTATTATGTATCAAAATAWAAAAAAAATAAAATTCAAAAATTCCAAGTAAGTCAATGGATAAAAAAAATCAATATTATCATGAATGAAACAACAATTTAATCCCACATTATAAAAATTAATCAAAGTTTTATTATATACAGAGTGATTTATATGGTGCAATTAAATTAAAATGGTATTTTTTTTTTTTAACAAACAAAAAATCAATCCAAAACACATTTTTTTCATACTTATGTTATGTGCATTTAAAAATACTGTAGATCAAATATTAAAATAAAGCTAATAACATACAAAACAGAAATTTAACTCATTTCACTGTTTCTTATATTTTTCAACATTTTAAACCAGTGCTTCTCAACGGGGGCGATAAAATATTTTTCTTCTGAGGAGGGCCATTTTAAGAAGGTTGAGTAGCACTGTTTTAAACTATATATTATTAACTTAAAAGTGTCATGGATAGTGCCATATTTTTTTGCTAAAATTGGAACAAAATAATAGCCAATCATACAAGTATCTAATTATCAATTGAAATACATAAATGTAAATGCACATATAACTTTGGGGTGCTTAGGCACTGACAAAAATATATTTAACAGTCACACCTTCAAATCAAAATATTAGACACAATTCTTTAAATGAAATTTAATTACAAACATTAGTACTTAAGAATACATCTTTTAAAATTAATTTTATGTATTATTTTTGTGTCTAATATACTTTTAGAAGAAGAAAAATCGCTCTGATTATAAACTTCTAAAGAGGTTTCTGGTAAAAGTTGAATCTAGTTTATTATTCTGTGGATCAAAAGTAGAAATTTTTTAGTACATTTAAAAAAAAATTTAAAAATAAGAACATAAGTAAAAATTGTATAACATTAATTATTAAAATAACTKATTGGTAATCTTTGACTTATATTTTTAAATTGTATCTATATGTAGGTTATATTTTAATAGTAGATATTTAATAAAAATAGAACATAATTTTTTTGTAATATTTTATATCACATTATTGTAAACTTTTCTTTTTCAATTGTATGGTGATTAGTTGTAAGATTTGACAAATAGTCTGATTTGATTGATGCTTGAATAATTATGTTAAATAATGCTATAAATAAAAAGATAAATATTTTAACTTACATTGTTTGGAAGCCTTACAAAGCAAATAGCACAATCTTCCATTCCAGGAGTACCTCTACTGCGTGTAGATGTTGGCTGTAAAATATATAAAAAGCAATAATTAATAGTAATTAGTCAAACTATTATTATCAACTAAATTAAATATAATCAAATTTTACAATACATTAATAATCAAAATATTTCGTTATAATTACTTAAATCCATTGTTAAATTTATTAAAACTATTGATTTATGGTGTATATAACATTACAATAACATTATTCAAACAAGTACAACTCTGTTATCAGTGTTATCACCCTCGCCATTGCGCCGTATAAAATGTATTGACCCGCCACCAAGCAGAAGCAACTGTCTATCGGATTAATCTAAAAATTTGAAATTTATGATCTAAACCTATTTCACTATGTTTATGATATTATCATTATCGCGTTTGTATATTAGGTAATATTAAGTGCATACCTGTCTCTGACAATAGTTGAAAATTGATAATTAAATGATCTTTAGGAAAATGTCTTATTCCTTTGTGTTTATTTATATGAAATTATGAAATATCAATTATTAAATATGCTACAATACTAATATTATTCACTTTTGTATGAAAATGTAAATAAAACATAGAAAATAGAATGATCATCTGCCATTATAAGCTAATAAACATCTGTAACAATAAAATTATATAATAGATACTTATCGGTTATCATACTCCAGCAGCCAATAATCTAAGTTAAAACCTCGAATCCGTTACCATAGGCTAAACTGTTAAATATTTATTTTAGAAAATGCAGATCAATCACAAATTTAATTTTGTAGATCTCATTAGAGGAGCACATACTTTAAATATTAAATGTTTATTACAATCAGTTAAAAACTAAAAATCAGGTTATAGATCACTCAGGAACTTATTGGACTAAATTCAATTCCTACATACGTAAATTTCTGTGTTGTCAATTAAAACAAAAGTATTAACTGCAAATTTAATAAAATAATAATATTGTTAAATTATTATCTCTTTTATAAATACATTTATACCTATTTATAATTGTTTACATTACAAATGCATTGCCTACATTAATGATTCATCCATTAAAATAGTTTATACCATATAAATTATAAATTCTATTAACTACCAATATTCCCTCCCCCTTTCATGTAGTATTAAAAGCAATAACAAATATTAACCTAATGTTAAAATTAAATAGATCATAAAATAAAAACAGAATTAAGTACTCTACTGGCACCCAATTGGCCGACAAAGTACGACAATTGAAAAGTACCAAATAATACTATAAGTATACAATAGTCAATAATACAGAATGTGACCACAAAAAAATTTAATACCAAAAATGTTGTTTAAGTAATCTAAAATTACTTAAACAACTAACTAATAACTAACTTTTAAAATTTTAAAACATCATTAAAAAAAATAAATGAATTACCCTCTGTATAATTGGTTGAGTCCTTTTAAACGGATTTATTACTCTAGCTTCAGAGAATAATTTATCCTGGTCACCATCATAAAACCGTTCCATTAACTTTTCTTTGTCCCATTTAAAATGATTCAACAAAATGCGAGTTGTTGTAGCAGGCATCTGAAATTACCAAAAGATGTACCATACAGATTGAATCTACAAAACATTTTTAACATAAACCAAACAATAAGTAGGTAACATTGTTACCTAATTAATACATATCTTATATTCTACCCTGTGTATATGTGGATACAATAACAGAGTTCTCTAAAATAAGGTCAAGTATTGCATTTAAGAAATTAAAATAAACTGTCATTATGCTTACTTGAAGCACAGTATTCACGTCTTTGATACAATCAATCATATGTTGAACAATATTGTCTGTGGACAAAACTTCAAAGGGAAAATCATCAATGTCTTGGTTTTTTTCACGTTCGTGTCGCACATCAACCTCCATTGCAAAATCCACATCATCTCCACTAGATTCATTGCCAGAGTCTATATCGTTTAATGCATCTTCATCAGAATCCATCGCAAAAGTTATTTCCAATAGGATTCAACAGCAAGACAATTTTTATAAAAATGTAGGTATTTTGTACTTAAGAAATTTTAATTTTTATCAAAATCGCGCTCGCCAGGCGACGTATGATCTCGTCGATTTGTTATTGTTATTCGTTTGTTGTTTTCTAGGCGTGATGATGAATGGTGGTGGASGGTGTTAGTCCAGTGAGCATATTTTGAAAAATAATTATTATTATTTATGTATCAGAAATATATATCTGTTTAAAACAAAATTTTTTTAATTTTATTTTGCCTAGCAAGTAGCAATCAGTTGTTTTCTGACCCCGGTGACGTCACCCACTTTGTGATCTTGTTCCCTCTATAACCTCTTTGGATTTTATTAGTATTCAAAATGGTAAACACTGACAGTTGCATTGCAAAAGCGTTGCCTAAAATCATTTCGAATTTCGATTCCCATCACAGACCACGGTAATAGACAATAGTGTAATACAAAAAAAAATTGAACCCTTTAGATTTGAGACACAGAACATATGAAGTTTTATATATTCCGTGGTTTAGATCTCTTAAAAGTCCTAACCTAACCTGACCGTAGGATTGAATTATTGAGTTTAAAATAAAGAAATATTTTTTTTTTATAGATTAATAAAAATATTTTTGTTAACTTTTAATAATTTTATTATTGTAAAGAGTTTTCTGCAGTGAAATTTAACGTACCTACCAGAAATTTTTAATATTTATAATAATATAGTCACTATAATATTATAATGTATAGCGTATACTGTGTATTTTGTTATCGCGTGCGGCGTGCGTACTAAAAAGTACAATAATCAGTGGCGGTGCCAGGGTGGGCCCGGCTTACCTTAAAAAGTCTCGGCCCCCCTGTGGCCCACCCAAAAAATTAAATTTAATCATACTAGAATACTAAAAAATATCTCATGAATAAATCAAAATATGAAAATATAAAGTCATAATAGATGGCGTGAACAACATTTTGAATGGGTTGAAAACTATGCACTATSCTTTCAAGCMTCAYAAATAACGTGTATTTTCCAGCGGCTGAATACGAAAATAATAAGTTATACTTACTAGTTATTATTAAATATTAATCAATGTTTTTAATAATTTTGTTGAAAATTCAATGAACAACGGGATTAGATTATTAACCAACTATGATAAAGAAAATACAAGGGAAACCATTCTATTTTTATATACTTTTGATGAATATACTTTTACATAGCTTATACATACATTAGCTTCAGAATATATATTTTGTTAGGAAATAAATACTATTAATACATGTTTACAAATCATTGTTTTAGTAAGTTAACACGATGAAGTGTAAAAAAAATTGAAAAATTGGAAGTTGACCCTCCCCCTCCCTCATCTGCGCAATTGCCTGTCATCAGTTCATCACTATTGTTTATATATAATATAGGTATATATATATATAAATATCAAGTCAACAATTTGGCCCTCCCAAAAAAATTTGTGCCCCWGAATTTTAATACTAGGTGGGCCAGGTATTAAAATTCTGGCGCCGCCACTGAAAATAATTAATAGGTACTATAGTTTAAAAAAAACTCAAACCGCAGTACCTATTTGTGAATCACAGTATCTCCGTAACTCCAGCATCCCAAGCTTAACATTTTTACACCAAAATTTCACAACATTGTGTAACCATTTTGTAGGCAAATTTAAACCAAAATTTGAGATTCCTGATTTGGCTTTAATGTACCTAATAATTTAAAGGATATTAATGATTAATATCGTAATATTATATACGCACGGACATGTGTAATTATAACAGTTTACATAATACTATAATAATTTATRGTATTATATAAACTTTTTTTTTTCCATTTTTAACCGACGATGCCGCTGGAACTGCTTTCGCATTACTTCCGCGGCGCCGCCATCGTTTATTGACTATAATGCATACTTATGGGTTAGACGCGACAGCTCCCCGACTTACCTCCCATCCATGAATTTTCAAAATTGGACATTTTGTATTAAGTATTTCCCGGACCTCTTCCTGACTTCTCGGACTGACCGGAGTTCGCCGCTCTGCAGGATGTCTCTTTATCTGTCGGGGCAGTCACAACCGTGCAGCGCTCACGTTCCCTTGTGCCCTTTCCAAGGTCTCATCTTCGTCGTTCATCGCTTTCTTTTGTCGACGGAATCGTCTCGATCATGCGGATGAACTCCTGGCGATTGATTTCAAACTGTTTGATAATTCTCCTTCGGGCTTGAGCATCTTCTGGCATGACATGTGGCTGGGGCCGCACAGAATTTCTACCACGTCACCCTCGTTCAGAGACCGCCTCATAAGCTCGGTCATTCGAGCGCGGTCGTTGAGCCAACTCGGGCASACAAAAACCGTATGCTCTTAGGTAGCTCCGGAAGCATCCATGCCCCAAAAGCAYCTGCGTCAGTCGGAATTCCAGGGTTAGCGGTGGCTTTGATATCCAGCGTCCGACGTCAGGGAGGAGCCGGTGCGTCCATCTGCTTTTATCAGACCGGTCCTACCGAGCTTGCCAAGCAGCGATGCTGATTATTCTCTCCTGTTTTTTAACGGTGCTCGGGGAGACGTCAATCTGGTCGTCCAGGTGAACCCGAACTCTAGCCCTTTCTGTTGCTAGCAGGTCTGCAGGTAGCATTGAGGCCAATACTGACGAGGCGTCGGYCCAGACTGTACTGTAAGCACGCGTTGTGCGGAGTGCGACGGYCCTCTGCGCTTTTGCCAGTTCTGCGCGATTCTTAGCCGTTTTTGTGCCGCGGACGGCCCAAGTCGGCGAGGCGTACAGCATTTTGCTGTTTGCCACAATGCCAAGAAGCACTCTTTTGGTATGCGACGGTCTTCCGAGGTTGGGCATTAGTCTGCCAATGGCTTTTGCTGAATCGGTAACCTTGCGGGAAGCCTGCTGAATATGTTTGGTGAACGAGAGTCGCGTGTCGATCTCGACCCTGAGGTATCGCATTGGCCGTTTGATAGGAATTACGTGTCCTTCGACCAGGAGTTCCGGGTTATCGTATATGTTTTTCCTTGTCAGAACTACGGCCTCGGTTTTTGCGGGGGCTAGCTTCAGTCCATTTTGTTCCATCCAAGCTTCGTCTGTGCGGGTGATGCCTATGACGCACACATCAWCGGCAAATGCCACGAGTTGGACACCCGACGGGGTTTCCATGTCCAGTAGATCATTGTAAAAGACATTCCATAAGACTGGTCCTCGGACCGAGCCCTGGGGAACGCCGCACGTCGTACTTCGACGGCGGAGTGATTCGCCGACCAATATGGATCGTTCCTGTAGGTACGATCTTATCATTTTCACGAGGTACGAGGGTACATTCTTGACCCGGAGAGCGTTATCCACCTTCTTCCAGGGCGCCGTGTTGAAAGCGTTCTTCATGTCGAGTGACACGGCCACGCATATGTCCCGGTGCAGTGCCGCACCTAAATCWGCGCCGTGTGCGCCGTTCAGAAGTCGGTCAATAGCGTCTGAAGTCGAGCTGCCTTGGCGAAACCCGTATTGATTAGGTGATCTATGACCGGTACTATCGAGGTGCGCGTCGAGTTTGGCCAGGATTAGCCGCTCTAAGAGCTTCCCTGAGGTATCAAGCATACACAGCGGCCTATAGCTGGATGGTTCGGTTGTCGGCTTACCGGGGCCTTTGTGCAGTAGCACCAGTCTGGATTCTTTCCATCGGGAAAGAAAGGTGGTATTTGCCAAGCAGTTGTTGTAGACACTCAGTAAGGTGTTGGACTTCCGGAGAAATACCTTGACTAAGACCTCGTTGGGGGTGCCATCGGGAAATATTATATAACCTATAACATGTAAAACATATTAGGTTATAGTTTTAATACTATATAATTTATTAATTTTTTATAGTTTTTTCATTTGTGTATTTATTTCATTATATCATCATCATGTTCATGTATCATTTAGATATACACTATTAATTATATGTTTATATTATAGTTTTAAATTTATAAAATCAAACTTTGCTTTGGTTTTTTTTAAATGTAAGAATTTTCGTTTTAAGAAGGTAAATATGGGCAATCATCATGAAATACATTTTTATTGTAACACAGCAGTGGCGGCTATCATCAAAAAAATATCTGTTGACGTGTTGTCCCACCTATGTAAAAATTTGTTAGAAAATACAAATTACCAAGATACAAATTAGTGGGCCGCAAATTTTTGTTGATTTTTGATATTATCAAAATATAGTAAGTATCCAAGTACGGTTTCGAAAATTGTATTTACAAAAAATAATTTCAAAACTCAGTAAACAAGTACCTAATAGTCTTAATGACTTAATGAAAATCAATCGCACTAACTTGATTTAAGTTTTGTGGTTCCGAATAATTAGGAAGTTCGCTATAAAATTAAAACGTGTAATTATTCCCATATCAAGCCATTATAGCCATTATATCATACTTGAAAAATGAAATCGTCTTATTCAATGGTTTAATACCCTTTTTATATATTTATAGGTGTTATATATATTATATATATATACACTATTGGATTGGAGATCGGAGTGTTCAAAATTCTATCATATACGGGTGAAAAAATGTTATACTATATTTAAAATGTTACTCGTGCATCTTAATAAATGACCCCGACATCACCATTTTCACGTGCAACCTGCCTACCCACATGGCGGACGAAAAGGATTCGATCAACGACGTGATGGGTATTCGTATTCTCACATAATAATAAGTAACTCCTCCAGCCTCCACAGTAATTCTTCGTGGCGTTGGCCTATTCACCACCATCATTGTGGACTGTGGTGCATAATATTATATTATCATTATTCTGGCGCAGTGGTGGCGTAAACTATACGCGAAGACTACAAACGCCGTTTCATGGCGCGTCTTCGTGTCGTAGGTAAAATACATTCGATAAAATAAACGTCCATCCGTYCTGATTTGTAATAGTATTGACCTCCCGGGGTTGGGCCCTATCACTTTTTAACTTAGCCTATCTTCTGTCCAAAGGTCTAATATATTACTGTACCAAATTTCGTCACAAGGTCACAATCGGTCCAGATGTTTAGGAATGCATAAAGGACATACAGTCAGACATAAATCCATTTATATATATACATAATATTCCGATATTGTAATTAGTATTTTTTTTATCATAGTCAAATAGGTAGTTGATAACAATAATTGTAGTAATTATTTTATTATAATCTACACGCTTTACCAACCAAAATAATTTTTTTGTAATTTTTTATAGCAATGTTTTCATAGGTTTTATAGGATTTACATATGAAACTTTTTATCTTTATGAAGAGGGCGTAATAATTATAATAGTGAATAAAACATGGCAAAAAACATGTTTTTGTACTTCAAAAAYTACTCCTTATTGAAGCGGTATACGGTAAAATTACTTAATATATAAATTGTAGAGGAGAGTTTTATCTATTATCGCAAGAAGTGTGATTTTAGATATTTTTATTAATTAGTTAAAAATTAGTCGATAAAAAGTAAAAAACCACTTGCCATGCAATATTGAACGATTGGAATAAGTCATTCTATCAAAATTCGGTGTGCTTACGATTCTGGATAAAATTTTCCTCTACAATTTTTAATAGGTATTTTTATTGTAAGACCCTTCAAAAAACCGCGTTACTTTAAATATGCATAGATAATATATATTATTATCTATGGAAATATGAAACATTTGTTTTTATTAGTATAAAATTTAGATATACGAATACGAATAAAGTCGAAGAAAACTAAAAATTAAAATATAATATTTATCTCTAAAATAATTATTTCCTTATCTGGGTATTTACTATTTATATATTATGCACAGCTGCGATAGAAAACCTGTTTTGACCTATTGTGCGATATTGTCGTTATTGCAAGCGGGGTGGTGGTATGACACCGTAGGGCGTAGGCTGCGAGGCTGTCGCTGCTATTTACACCGTTTTCGCTTTTTACACTTYAACACTTAACAGTCGTCGGACTGCATTACTGCAGCACATGGACGTAATTAATCATTTTTTTTTATCGAAAAACATGGTTTCATACTTCAAGTTTATTAAAGGGTTTTACAGTTACAATACCTATTATAAAAATTGTAGAGCAGAATAAAATTGTTGATATCTTATTCCAATCGTCCAATATCGAATGGTATATTAACATGTTTTTTTAAACTTTTTATCAACTAATTACTAAAAATATTGAAAATCGAGCTTCTTACGATTCTAGATAAAATTCTCTACAATTTTTATATGTGTTTGCTGTAACTGCTTCAATAAACCGTATTATTTGAAGTACGAAACCATGTTTTTATGCCATATTTTGTTTACCAGTGCGCCTTCTTAAATACATTTTCTTTCCTCTGCTCAAAATCTTAAAGGTTCATATAGATTTATTCTCATATTTCCTGTGGGTTTCCATAGACCCCTAACGYCGGTGCGTCAATTTTTTTTGGACCTGCCACCGGGGCCCAAAATATCTAAATGTGACACTGCATGTTAATATTATCATTRATAATTGAATATAAATACCATTTGCATATTTAAAATCAGTAATATATATATAACATAATATATAGAGAATTCAAGCTTTATAATTTCCGAATCGATAACTAAACATACACCCAAGTCATATAATAAACATAAGCATAATATAAAGCCTTGTAAGTCTTTAAAGTTTAATTTTCATACATTAATAATAAATTTATTTAGGTAGTAAGTTGACATAAAATCAAGTTCAAGTAACCTATAATATTAAGTCATAGGTAAGTTTTTATTATCACTAGGACTTGAATTTATAGTGCAATATAAGTACATAATTTTATTGAATGTCGATTTATTAATTTTGATTGAAATTACCACGTTTAAATCATTTAACAATGCTCTAAATAAAATAATAGGTATTAATTTTTAATACTTACATACCTAGTTTGAAATAAATGCATATCTATACAGATTTTATCATTAAGTATATATTTTTTTAAT